AAGTTTGAGGGGGACTTTTCTATCACACAACAAGCCCAATTCATTCCTCCATTTCAACCATCCAACTTGAATTGTCCTGATAATATCCCCTTCTATTTCACCATCACTCTAAACAAAAGATCCAAGATATCTAAAACGTGTACTTTTTTTAATTACTTGATCACCCAAACCCCTCGTTAGGTCTATTGCTACTAAAATTGCACTCCATATATTCAGTTTTAGATCTCCTCAAGAGAAAACCTTTATACTCTATAGTTAACCTCCATAATTCGAGTTTACCTTCAACTCCCTCTCTAGTCTTATCAACATGTAGAATATCATCAACAAAAAGCATACAACTAGGTACATCCTCTCACAAATTTCTACTTAGGAAATCCATGACTAAAGCAAAAAGATATTGGCTACATCCTCTGGCAAATGTCTAATGAGAACATCCATGACTAAAGCAAAAAGATATTGACTTAAGACTAATCCTTGATGTAATCTAACCCAAATCAGAAACATCAACAAGTAATTAAAATATCATCAACAAAAAGCATACAACAAGGTACAACCTCTTGCAAATGTGTAGTGAGAAAATCCATGACTAAAGCAAAAAGATATGGGCTTAGAGCTGTTCCTTGATGTAATCCAACTGGAATAACAAAAAACTTCTTCAAAAAATTAAAAATACAAAACTCGATCGGAGGAAGGCATCGCGTATAGGAGCGGTGAGATCCCTTCAGGCTTACAGTGGGGAGCTCGTCGGCTGCCAGAGGGATCTCGTCGGCGACCGGAAGGACCTCATCGACGGCCTAAATCATCTCGATCGCAAGAGGGCGGGCGGAGGAGAGGGGGCGAGCACATCTCAGGAGAGAGAGCGAGGGACATGGAATGAAATGTAAGGCTCGGGATGGTTAATTTTAGGGCTTCTTCCGGCAGCCCAAATCGCTGGTACCAAATCACTTAACACCGGCAGTTCTAGCCGTCGGTAACGCACCGGTAAGTTTAAATACCGGAAGTTGAACCGGCGGTTTCTGAACCGCCGCTATTGTCGGCGGCTTATGCTTGCATAACGACCGGTTAAGCTGCTGGTAATAATCGGTGGTCAGACCACCGGTTAAGCCACCGTTAAAACCGGCGGCTGGACAACCGCTGGAAATCAATGAATTTCATGTAGTGAACCATAATCAACTATAACATTTTCAGCATCAACACCAACACCATCATTATAAGTAGGAGACGAGGTGGGACTAACTGTTCACCATAAAGGTATTGACACCCAAAACATCATCAACACCCTCTCTATTTTCATAAGAAATATTCATGGGTAAAATATTAGGCTTTGGAGGAGCCATAATATTACAAATTTCGTCACCAACCTGACCGACAACGCCATTAGTGCAAGCCTCATTATGGACAAAATTAACTTTCTCAAAATTCATAATAGGAGGAGGATGCAAAATAGGATAATCCAAATTCGAATGTCCAAGAAACTTGCAATGAACACAATAGGGAGGAAACTCCTCCATTTCTACAAATTGAATATACCCGAACTTATTAGGACCAAGCCAAACTCAATTAGGATAGCATTTAGTGATGTCTAACTCAATAAGAATGTGAGTAATGGAAGGTCATGAACCAATCGTAATGGCATTATCAGTTTTTAACAACCTACTAAACAATGACCCCAAATCATGAAGGATACAAGGAGAAAAGAGATGGGGGCGCAAGTTAGCGAATGAAACACAAATCAATATAGCGAGAGATTTAACATTAACATAAAAAAGGAAGACCACTTAGATAAATTCATAAAATAGTTATTCATGAAATAAGAATGATGAGAGAAAACTCAACTATAGTCTAAATCCTTAGCCAATTTAATCAACACATGCTTAGGATTTAACAGAGAAACAAAAAAATTACCAATGAGCTTAAGGTTGAAGAAAAAAAAATTACAAATAAAATCGATTGAAGGCTATGATTCGGAAAAGTTCCAATCAACGAGAACTTAAATGGTGATGCCGAAGAAAGAAACTCTTCCTCCAAAATCCATAGGGATGGTAAGCCACGGTGCATAGACATTTTGAGATCAGGAAACTCCACCACAAGGGAAACCCTAGCAAGAACTTCAAAAAAGTAATGGGAATTCACGCACCCATCTAAAAAGCTTGGATCAATCACATGATTTATCACCATTCCAACCAGGATGTTAGAGGTGGACAAATCAGGAGGACGACCAAGAAACCATAAAAAATGAAAAAAAAAAAAAAAAAAAAAAAAAAAAAGAGGAAGGAAGAAAATTACTTCCCTTAAGACGACAACAAGGAAAGGCTACGACGACCAAAGGCACCACACAGAGGGCGAAATCCTAGTAGAGGACTGAAGCTTAGTAACTATTTCACCCTAATATACAAATTAGGCATTACTCTAATAATAACATTAGGGTTGCATAATAAATTTTAACCATAATTCTAGTGCTTCAAGGAACCCTAACTTTCAAGACATGCTTGATTGTCCTTTTTTAATGAATAAAATTAAAAAATTGAAAAAAAAAATCATTTTAGGTTCATGAAGAATTTGAAGATAACCATATCAAAATAAATTTCAAGAATGAGAGAGCAAAAAAATAATATATGCATATATATTAAATAAAAAAAATAGAAAGCATAATCTAATTATTTGGTATTGTGGTCTACATCCACTATAGAGGGTTGTACTAATTTTTTATCATTTTAATGTAGGTTTATAATTATTTAAAGTAGGAGAGTAGAGATTTGGAGAGCAAAAATTGATCCAAATAAACTTATGGAAAATACCATAAGAGATTGAGAAAGTGAATGGTGTACCATCCAATTGGGCCTCATATAGTCTTTTTATGGAAGCACATATAAGTCTACCTTTCTTTAGATGCACTTAGTATGTACTAAAGTTTTTTT